GCAGGAGAATTGCTTGAACCCAGGAGGTGGAGGTGGCGGTGAGCCAGGATCGAGCCATTGCACTCCAGCCTAGGCAATAAAAGTGAAACTCAGTCTCGGCCGGGTGCGGTGGCTCACGCCTGTAATCTCAGCACTTTGGGAGGCCGAGACGGGTGGATCACGAGGTCAAGAGATCGAGACCATCCTGGCCAACATAGTGAAACCCCATCTCTACTAAAAATACAAGAAAATGAGCTGCGCATGGTAGCCCATGCCTATAATCTCAGCTACTCGGGAGGCTGAGGCAGGAGAATCGCTTGAACCCGGGAGGTAGAGGTTGCAGTGAGCCGAGATCACGCCACTGCACTCCAGCCTGGGCTATCGAGCGAGACTTCGTCTCAAAAAACGAAAGGTGGTTCTATTTGCTTCAGTAACAACCGGTGCCACTGCACATGGACCCTGCCCGCCCGCCTCACTGGCTCTGGCTCTGGCTCTGGCGAGCCCTCCTACCCAAGGAGGCGGTGTCCTCTGCACAGCTGGTGGCTCCTCCTCAGCTCCCGCACCCTGACGTAAAAGATACCCTGTTCACCATTCTTGGCTCTTGCATGGGTTTTTGCAACCCGGTTCTCAGTTACGCTGTTTTGTTTTTGCCCCTCCCTGGGAGAAGGGTTAAGTCTCTCGTTGGGTACATTGGCCTCTTAGGCTCCAGGCCCACGTAATCCTAATGGAGTCATGCCAAGTGGTTAGTTTGCTGGTGACCCAGTTGCTAGGTGAGGGTGAGGCTCTGCTAAGTGGATTTATGTCATCTAGTGACTGTCTCATTAGTGATATCATGTTCTGGGCAGATGTTTCCTCTGAGCACTTCCAGGACATGGCTGGGAAGGGTGCGGTGCTGGCAGCCGTGGGGAGGCTGTCAGGCCAGGAACAGCTCTGCTCAGCGCTGGGCTGGGTCCCAGCCGGGAGCCCTGCTGGGACCTGTCCAGGAACTGTTTCTGTATTCTTGTCAGCCCCACCCACTGGATGGGGTGGGTCCCAGGCCAGAGGGTTGTATCCTATGGTCATTTTCAAAAGTTTGGTGTGCTAGGTTTTTCCCAATATAAAACCATGCTTGGCTGGGTGTGGTGGCTCACGCCTGTAGCCCTGCACTTTGGGAGGCCGAGGCGGGTGGATCACCTGGGATCAGGAGTTTGAGACCAGCCTGGCCAACATGGTGAAACCTCGTCTCTACTAAAAATACAAAAATTGGCTGGACGCAGTAGCTCACGCTTGTAATCCCAGCACTTTGGGAGGCCCAGATGGGCGGATCCTGAGGTCAGGAGATTGAAATTATCCTGGCTAGCATGGTGAAACCCCGTCTCTACTAAAAATACAAAAAATTAGCTGGGCGTGGTGCCATGTACCCGTGGTCCCAGCTATTTGGGAGGCTGAGGCAGGAGAATCACTTGAACCTGGGAGGTAGAGGTTGCAGTGAGCCGAGATTGTACCACCATACTCTAGCCTGGGTGACAGAGTGAGACTGTCTTAAAAAAATACATATATACAAAAATTAGCTGCGAGTGGTGATGCGTGCCTGTAATCCCACCTACTTGGGAGGCTGAGGCTGGAGAATCACTTGAACCCAAGAGGTGGAGGTTGCAGTGAGCCGAGATTGTACCACCATACTCTAGCCTGGGTGACAGAGTGAGACTGTCTTAAAAAAATACATATATACAAAAATTAGCTGCGAGTGGTGATGCGTGCCTGTAATCCCACCTACTTGGGAGGCTGAGGCTGGAGAATCACTTGAACCCAAGAGGTGGAGGTTGCAGTGAGCCGAGATTGTACCACCATACTCTAGCCTGGGTGACAGAGTGAGACTGTCTTAAAAAAATACATATATACAAAAATTAGCTGCGAGTGGTGATGCGTGCCTG